CGGATAGGATTTTCCTTGTACACTATTCTACACCTAGACTTGCAGCTGTTTACATTGAAATCTCGCTCCTTATGCATTACCTACAGTATTTCCCTTATATATAATATAAGACCTAGACTTCCAGCTGTATACATTGAAATCTCGTTCCGTATGCATTACTTGCTGGATTTTCCTTATATATTATTCTACACTAAGACTTCCAGCTGTATACACAGAACTCTCGCCCTGTATGCATTTATTACAGGATTTCCCTTGTACATTATATTTGACTAAGACTTCCAGCTGTATACACAGAACTCTCGCCCTGTATGCATTCATTACAGGATTTCCCTTGTACATTATATTTGACTAAGACTTCCAGCTGTATACACAGAACTCTCGCCCTGTATGCATTTATTACAAGATTTCCCTTGTACATTATATTTGACTTCCAGCTGTATACACAGAACTCTCGCCCTGTATGCATTTATTACAGGATTTCCCTTGTACATTATATTTGACTAAGACTTCCAGCTTTATACACAGAACTCTCGCCCTGTATGCATTTATTACAGGATTTCCCTCATACATTATCCTAGACTTTATTCTAAACAATTATGCAATAGATACACACATGAATAGAACCTTTCAATGATAAACTAGAAGTAGATGTAGAATAAGCAAATAACTAAGCTACATCATACAGCTGTTTTGTCCCTTAATCATGGACAAGACATATTCTTCTACACCAACCGCTTACCAAGATCTCATGTCAAAACCAGAAGCAGAGATGCAATTACTTCAAAAATTAAGATTACATAATTTTCAACACTGAGTCATTAAAAAGAATGCCTTCAGGGTGTGCATTTTCTGAATGGCGCCAGTTTTCACCAAATTAAAATATGACATGCAGGTTACGGCAAGGAATGAAGTCAAGTGACGTTGTTCAGCTTTACACTTCACACACAAATGTTATGTCGAGAATGACATTTTGCATTTGACTAATTCAATTCCATAAAAGATAGACAATATATCAAATTTTAAGCGTTAACTACAGGTATTTCACTTCCCTACCCTATCTTTTTCTAAGATCTCATTTGAAAATGTTCTGTTTCTTTGTGCGAACCTGGGTTTGTTTGGTGTTCGTTAGTGAAACTATTGGGTCGTTGATGACGCAGGAGACGCTTACTCTTCCGGAACACCTGGTCTTATTCTCCTTGTATTTTTTTAGTAGCAAATGGTACTTTTGTGCATATTTGATTGAATTTTATTGCATTTAAGTTTGGATTATGATTATGTTGACATTTTCTTGTTGTTTGTTTAATCATATAATGTCATGTAACTTATTGAGCTATAGGCTACATTCAATTTTGACATTCATTTCCATTAATTCTTATTTTCCCCTAGTGTCCTAGCTTTCCCAAAATTAGGTCCACCGCATCAGTGATGAATGCTCGAAGGACGAAAGAGTTGTATGACGCAGCATTACTCGTTATTTGGTTCAACTGTATCTTTGTACAATTCTGAATGAACGCATCGAGAAAATACTGTTGTTCAGCCAAATCCTTAAGTCAAAGTCATACCAGATAAACGGCCTTTAAAGCAGGATGATGGAAATCCTAGCAAACGAGATCTTTAAAAAAACTACAAAGCTAATCAGTGTGTGTTCTAAAGATGTTGAGTGTCTTCTGATTCATGGATGGCATTCACCATGAGAATCCAGATCAATTCAGGTATAATCGCATGTTAAAATTAAAACCATGGTCATTATGATGAAACCACCAGGAATAAACACATGCGTGTAAGATCAAAGCATTCAAAGATTAATTTACATGCAATGACATCAATATGAATACCACAAAAAGTTTATGTAATTATGGGGAAATTGTCACCATCACTTAAGGGAATTTTGATTAGTTTGTTTTGTGTGTTTATCGTGGTTTTACATCATTGCAACAGCAAGGATCATGTGAAGACGGGTGTCTAGAGACGATGATATAATTAATAAGCAAATAATAAAACACAGAAAGTAGACAGGGAAAAATAAGATCCAAGTGTTGGAATTGAAATGATATGACAGCATATGTAGTGTAGTTTTATGATATTGTTGATTGTTTCGCTGTATTTAATGATCGAAGTATGTGATGTTTGTTAAAGAGCCTTTCATGTCGTCAATGTGATATGTTGGAGTATTTGTCAAATGGACATGATCAATATATTTGTTATTTCAAGACAACATATCAACAAAGGTCTTGAATTTAAAGCAACTGGAATTTTTTCATGTTTTGCCAACATCTTGCATACAGTATATTCACTCTCGTATTAAAACCTAATATATTCAAGAAAGAGACCGTTTATTTCCATAGTTACAGCTGTTGGCATGTATTGTTCCTTAACAGAACTCAGTCAACAAGAAAGCCAATATTTCCTATCTTACCGTCAACAGTGTACTTACCCTGACTTTAGACATGTCTGAGTCAACAAAATTAGTTTCAGTATGATTCGCAGCAATGTATCTATATCGACTTTTTCTTTTTGTAGAAAAACAGAAAAAAAGGTGGAAAAACAAACAGATTATTCTGGTCCGGAAAAGTGTATGTACATGTCACAATCAAATAACAAAACAAATAACTTTATACCAAATGTACAAAGATTTGTTTTAATGACACAACAAATACCTTTTTAGAAAATGTAAAAAGATTAGCATTGATTGCATGCGTATTCTGATTACAATACGATCACTTGTATAGCATCCGTGGTAATATCATAGCGTTGAAACATCATTATCCCAACGCGAAAATTAAGCTGTGCTGATCTTTCGGAGACTGTTGCTTTAGCTTTCAGTTAAGCTGGATTCATCGAAGAATCCTTTCTGTATTGTTATCAAGTCCGTCCAAATTAACTTTCAGATACATGTACAATGTATATTAACGGCGGTTTTTGACTGATACAATGGTATCGCTTATCAGATAAACCTGCCGGAAGATACTGAAAGAATTGAACAAGGAAAACAAGGAATCGGCTTTTCTATCGTGAACTTCCCATTTCTCGATAGTAACTGACTAGATTTTCCAAAACCTTTTGTCGTTTTTTTTTTCGTTGACACGTCGCAATGTTTTTTTGAGATTTAATGTTCGTTTTTCGATATGAATGGCAAGTGTTTTGATACATTTGCAAGCGTGAATTGTAAAATTGCCATGTCAGGTTTCTTGTTACAGTGATGAGAAAGCTGTCTCACTTAAATTTGACCGAGATTTATACAACAGACTTAACATAGCGGATGTTGTTTATGAAGCAACAGACGTTCACTCCGGAACACCATAATGTACTGGTACTTTTTGCCTGACAAATCGTTCAATTCATCAAAATTTATTCCTACTTTGGACTTCGACGTTCTCTTTGATTTTTGTTGAAGATGTCATAGTTATCAAGAAAATTATATAATTGATTATTTTCGTACACCTTATTTCCTTTTAATGTTTTTGTGAATCGTCACTTTATTATAATACTGTGATCCATATCTAGACAATGCAGCCTTCTGGAGGATATCAGGAAACCTCGTCTTGTCATGCTCTGGGTAACAATGTAGTACCGTTTAATTCGTACAGGAATAGAAATCGATTACACAATTAAGTGTATTACTCGAACGGTTTTATATTTTATTAGCGGTAGTCGTGATATTTCTTAAAGTATGTTAATTAGTGCCGAGTGGTTCGTTGAACGATCCAAGACATATACAGCACCATAACATCACCTGTTGATATGAGGTTTGAAGAGAGAGGAGGCGTAAACAAGTCAATAAATAAAACATTCGCATCACCGTCGCTTTAGATGGTTGAAATCTATAGTGTTGAGCAATGAAACTTATATTACGAAATATAATTTGCTTACTCAATCTTAACGTAAAAAATCTAAATAATGATAAGATTGGTAAGATGTGTTTTTCTTACATATATCACCAACCTTCTATTGTGTTTTTATGTTTAAGCTGTAGAATATTGCATGCGAGTATTAAAACAACAAAGAAAATACGACATCTCAGCATGATCTTAATTCAAACTGGTATTTGATAAAAACCTGGGCAAATGATTAACAAAAAGAAATATTTCACGGCAACTCCTAAAAATACAGGAAAAATAAGACCATATGTTCGGGAAGAGAACATTTATTTTTGCTTCATCGACAACACCTGCAGTGAAAATCTTGGTCACGCTAAAGAAATAATGTCACGTTCCATAATAAGAACCTGGTAACCAGTAAAGAATCCACCAGGCAAACTAACGAGCATTACACATGTCTAACTGTATATCGAACAACAGAACCACCAGGCATACCAACGAGCTTTATAAACGTCCAACTGCATATCGCACTAAGAAATAGAATATTTCTGAGTGTGACTATTATTACCAGTCTTGTCTCACTGCATAGGAAAAGTGTTTTAATAGGTGTTATGATTGATAACCTATTAATACCAGACTTGCCCAGTATCCGTTATGGTTGAATGAATCAACGACCATTTGCTACGTTAAGCAACAAAAAACATATACAGGCAAGGCTATTTATTAGATGAAACGTGACTAACAGTGATTAAGCCTGTTTTTCTTTGATGAACACCAGTCCTACGTCCTCTAAGCAGTCGGAGATCATGAAAAAGATCACCGCAGATTTTTGTTTTATATAAACATAATACAATCAAAACCAAAAATGGACAAATAACTGATAAATCTAAATGATGTTATTTACAAAAACATGAAGTGTCGGACGAGGAAGACGTTGCATCAAAAAGACATCAAAACGGTCAAACGAAGACGACTCAAGGGATGGGAATTTGTAGGAAAACGAAATTAACTGTCAAACAGGAAAGACTCGCCGAACCTTTATAGAGAATAAAAACTCACATGTATGAGAGACAAATAGTGTCTGACATGCTAGGAAGACTAATTTGTGGAACGACAAATACATTTTCGAAGATATGTGTTTTTATGGCATTGCAAGTGATATAAGGTAGATAGCTTACTTACCATCAGACGAAGGAGAGTCCCGAGATCTATAGAAGTCAGCGATAGTATTTCGCTTGATCAGTCTTTTCCTCTTGTCCCGGAGGATCTGGTCGCGCTGGTAGGTCTTCGTCTCTAAGTCTATGGAACTCCGACGTCGTGTTCGGAATCTTGCGGCTCTTCAGGAAAAGAAAGAAAGGTAATATATAGTTTTCTGTTCTACAAATATATCTCATTATGGCGAGAATAAAATACTTATAAATATACAGCAAAGAGATTAACATTTAAGACAACCTGTCCGAGTATAGAATAGACTAGATATGGTTGTCGGATGGCGCAATGGTAACGCACCTGTCTTTCATTTAGACGATCGTTGTTTGATCCCCCGATCGAACAATAAAAGATAGGGTGTCACGTGCTCTACCACGTATATATTCTACCCCCGGTTACCCCGATTTCCTCCTACAGGAAGACCCCTCGCGCGCTTAAATCTTGGCCGATAGGAGAGGGTAGCTCATTTCGCTATATAGCATAAGTTTATATAAACCAACAATTTAGGTATTTTTCTACGGAAATGACGGACAATCATTTTATATTCTATATAAATGTTGTCGAAAGTTCACATTCTGGACCACACAGAGTAACACAGGTCACACAGAAACGTGGATAACTCATCATTTATACAAAGAAATCAAGTATCTGAGAACCAGATTATTATAGGATCTTACAGGAATTCGAGACTCACAATCAACAGTTTCACTCGGTGCTGACATTGAGCGACAGAAGGAGGTTTGATAATGCGGCATCCTAAAGGAGCGAGAATAACAGATTTATATAACTAAATACATACTAAATTCGTATGGCGTGTAACCAATACCGGCTTATAAATCATTTTTGAACGACCTACAAATAATAGTTAATGCCTGGTTGTCATATTAAATATTTTTTATGGTCCTTCATGTCTTCGCACAGAACAAGGACAGGTCTTTACTACACCCGAAAGCTCATATTTCTAAGCATCTACTCAAAACCTTCTACATATGTAACCGTAATATTTACATGTAATACATGTTTTTTTTTCTATCCAGACGTAAACATGTACATATCAACTGAGGCCGGTGTATATTTTTGTGCAGGCCAGGGAAGCAGACATTGTTTTTAAATGACATTAAAGTTTATTTACATAATTAGTATCAACAATCTAATTTGTATCAAAACCTTCTACATGTAATATAATAACAAATATAATAACAATAGCAGATCACGTGACAATGTGCTGAACGGTTGATTTCCTGCCATGGAGTAGTGTGTTGTATTCACTTCTAGCCTTACAGCTCATTAGTATTAAAGTTAAACAGAATACAATGTAAAATATAAGGCTGTTATATCACATACTGAATATTCAGATATTATATAAAAATTAATTTACATTGTACAAGACGATAAGAAATTAGACAGACTGGCAAACAGTTTAGTACACATACAAAAGTATAATAGAAGGACAATTATTATTTCGATAGTGCCATGACAATATCATTTTAAAGGAGGTAATTGACGTAAGATGCATTGTACTTAAACAACATACATTAAGATTAAAATGTTGAACATAATAATAAACTTGATTGTAAATATTTACCCAGATAACAGAGCTCTTTTCTATTACGTACTGTTAGTAATTTGTACGGATTTGTAAGACGACGGACGGTTCCAATAAAACCTTTCAACGTAAATTTATATACAAGGGACAATGCAAAATAAAACGGAACTCATCGTCTACTAAATTCTGGTTACAATGATTACAAATCATATGTTCTCTCGGAATATTTTGATGTCTACCTTCTTCTAAACGCAGCTGATGAGAAGATAATGGGAATTTAAATATAAGTCGAGGATAATTATCTGGTATAGATTTTGATAAATGGTACCGTAAAGTACACGAGTCTAACAAGAATTTGTACAAATAACATTTTGATGAATTTTCAACATACTCATTCCGTAATTAAAAGAAATTATCGACAAGACCATATTGGAAAAAATGTAACAACTCTATGATTAAACCAAACGTCCAAAAAACCAGTAGGTAGAAGTTTTGACCCTGGCAACGCCAGTTACATTTTCTGTGATTACATTCAGTCATATCATCATAAACAGACTTCAATACACAATTACTTATTTTAATGGTTTAATTCTTCGGCACCTACGGGTGATATGCAGAAGCATGCGACCTAGTTCAGAATACAGCATAAAAGATGTACTCTTTCTAACATTCAAGATTATATTTTTTTTTAAGAAATCGGTATGTACTTTTTCTATCTGATCAGCTGGGATAAAAACCCATACTTCACAGCAACAGATAAAAAATAAACATCAAAAACATTCAACTTTGATTCAACATTTAAAGCAAGATTATTACAAACTTTTAAAATATTAAACATACATTTACGTCCGTGATCAGCAACAGTCAGCTGAGTTTTAGTAAATTTACCGTTAAAGTTCCAAGGTAATCAAAGTTATCAGCAATTTCTATTTCATTGTTTTCAAAATAAAACTTGTCATTTGCACAAATTCTTCAGTCATATATAACAATTCATTTTTTTATCAATCAATAGATCAAACCATAACACTACTCTAAGGGTTTGTTTGTTTGTTTATTTGCTGGGGCGATCAGCTCGTGAACAGTCAGGGTCATTCAAAAGCAGGTACAAGCAATCCACGACAGTTAGGGTAAATAGTCTTGCCATAAGGCAACTACAACTGAACAGAGTTCATCGTTTTTCTTAGAAGTACAAACCGCCACGGATAGCGAGCATTGAACCATATTTCATGAATGTTTACGTGAGGTTACGTTGCTGGGTTTGTCAAATATCTATTTCTTAGCAACCTACAAGACACATATAACACTAGCAACAGGTATAAGAGATATGTAAGAATTTCAGTTACCAGAATAATAATCTAGTTATATATCTCTTACTAATGCTTTACCATCACGTCTTTTGTGATCTCTCGTGATGTATGTCCAGTCAATCATGCTTAAAGGCAACCTCAACTAAAAGGTTCAAATATACTGTCCTAAGGCTAAGGGGAAAAAGAGAATAAAGATCTCATGAAGTGATTTTGTGTAAGCAAGGTCACGAGGAAGCCTTGCCTCACGAACAGATAATACAATTACATTCCTACGCCTTTTTAAAGAAAATCTTTGCATTCGGCTGTCAGAGAATAGGTTATAAGAACGGCCACGCTGTGGGAGAACTGTCCTTCTCCTTCAGGAAGTTGGCAACAGGTTAGGCAGGAAGTATTTGTCAGTCATAATGGACAGGAATGGTCGATTAAATTGTTCTCGATAACTTCCAGGTCTCGGATCTCTAACGATTTTTATTTCCTCCGAGTCACATACTTAACGGACCTTTACGAACACGGCTTGTTCTTAGTGTGAAACCGAATTTTTATTCCTTACACGAAGCCTGATAAACAGCTGTACTAGCTTCTGTTAAATATCCTTCTGTCTTCAGGAAATGTCAAAGGGTTTAACCTTGACCTTCTTTAAATCTTATTATTACGTTACATTTTATCGTAAAATGTCACAAATGGCGTCTTAACATTTCTGATAAAAGAGCAGTCGGTCTCCGAGCGGATTGGCTATGGTGATGACAAATCAAGCCGTTGTGTCTAAAATCAATTTCAAATACCATTTCAAAAGTGCCATCCAAAAACTGACTACATATAATGTAATTAATGTGGTAAATTTCAATGGATTCATCGGATATGGTTTCAAAAACTGAAATTGTTCACGTTGTTGTAAATATGAATCAAACAATTTGTTTATATGACAAAAAAAAACCCAAAGGCAAAATAATAATATTAATAAAATAAAATAAAAAAAGAGAAGAAAATCTGACAAAAATATGTACAAATGGACATTCAACATCGTAGATATACTGTTCATTTTAGGACATATTCAATTTATTTCTCAAACGTTTATGTATATCTATTAATTATGGAGCATTGATGAGGTGTTATATCAACGAAGTAGAAATACATTGACCAGCTCAATGGTTTTTCTACCAAATCTATGTAACACCACATTGACCAAAATCAAACGTCTCCAACTATTTATTATATATATATATATATATCAATAATTATGTAGATGTCATGAATAAACTTCTTAAAATTTCTTATACCTAAAAATTCAGACTATCAAATAATAATCGCAATAAATGTGTTGATTTTAACACAGCATAAAAAAACTGCACACTATTACATTCCCTGATGTTACACAAACAAAGCTATATTGTTCATTGATGTGCATTTAGTTAACATTTTTTGTTTCAAGACGTGACAACGTAATGTGAGTTTTATCGGAGGGTATTAGCGAGAGCACAAAATTATTTCATTTCTGTTACAAATGTATTCTATTATTTTTCGAAAGTCACTTTAATAGTGCTAATATTGTTAACACTGGTGGTAAGTTATAAAGTAGTTAACTCTTTAGTGTGCTATTGTTACCTTGATAGTTTACACAATTCTGAGCAGTTTGTAGTCGGCACTAAATTAATGTATAATTGATATAAAATTGATCCTATATATACCGTCTCTTTTTCTCTTCTTTTCTCTCTATCCTATTATCCCATCTTTTCCTCCTTTTGACAAAATTATTTAAAGTTACAAATGTACGTCTACGAGTTACATATCTTCATATTTATAGTATAATTATGTGTCACGTACAGTATATTAATTATTTATAATTGTATTTAAGGAGAAGCTTTCATAAGTTGCTAGTACTTGTCTCTGATCCATTTATCTGCTACTGATAATAATATATGTTTAAATCAGTTAACACAATATTTTTCCTCTCGCTGAAACAGGCTAGAACATGAAAATGATATACACGAAATCATGAAAATACAAGAAAGTTCGAGATATAAATCTGGTTTCAAAAGATGTTTCACATGAAACAATGTACACTAATACCTTATTCTAGATTTTCTTTGTCTTTGAAAACCTAAGAAACTGCTATTGAACTGAAGGTTGTAATTCAATTTGAAATCAAAGTTACGTGTTCCTATCTTCAGTAGTTAACAGTTGTTTTTTCAATAGTCCATCATAAGCATATTATTTTTTATATTTCGGGATATATGGAACATTTAAAATTAGCATGATATATCAATCTTCAGTTTACACAAAGCATTACGTACGCGCGAAACGACTGTAAGGAAATACACGTGCCTTTTCTAGTAGAAGTATGTCAAAACAAATCAGATAATTGAAACAGTTCTTACGACCTACACCAATAGTCTTACTAACCCAGATTTACATTTCCTCGGGTCACTTTTAATTAGGTTTTGTAATATACTATTTCAATACATTAATAAGGGGTAAATCAAGTAAACGAGGACACTTGAGAAATCGAGTTAATGAGTTTTCGCTATAACTCACTATACAGCCGACACGGCCACGATGTATAAAACAACGTGATTGAATTACAACTGAACTGATGAATACTACACATTTTCTTTTGGCACGAACAGGTCAACACGATTAACACTGGGTATATCATACTAATTGACGTTCTAGTGGAAATTATTGGTGCCATTTGACCCCATTGCCTACATGAATGGAAAACTCTTAGTTCAGTAAGTATCTAGGCAAAGACCCTGAAACGATTCTGTAAGCAGAATCTAAAGACAGGAAAGTACTGTGACGAGAGTCGTGCCAGCAATTGACCGAAAAACACACAACACGGGGTTTCTAGAAATGCAATGGTCATCTTTATGATCTTATTTAGAAATATTCTATTTTCTTGTTTTCTCATTTGAGAACGTGACATTACTACTTGGATTGACCACGACTTACATGGCGAATGTCGTTGATGAATCGGAAGACGCTTGCTCTTCCGGAACACTTGGTCTAATTCTCTTTGTCCAAGTTTCATTGAATGTGACTTAAATTTTAGATTCTGTTGACATGACATAATTTCTGTTGCTGTTCTGAAGTAAGAGAACCTTTATAAAATTGTTAAAAGTCATTTTAACACAATAGTATATTACAATTTCAAAGAGAATATTTAAAAAAGGATGTCTAATTTAACCTATCCAACCACACTGTATAACCTTGATTATGGGTAAGTTTTTTGGATGCCATAGTGATGCCATAACTAAACTCATACACTGTATAACCTTGATTATGGGGAAGTCTTATGGTCGCCATAGCAATGTTATTGAGAAATATTCTATTTCTTTGTGTTACAAGAAGCTGGGCGTATTTCATGCTCGTTAGTTTACCTATTGGTTCGGGTGTTGTATACCTTGCTCTCATTTGAGAACGTGGCATTACTTACTGGGAATGCCCAAGGTTTCCATGGCGGGTGTCGTCGTTGAAGCAGATGACGCTTTCTCTTCCGGAACACCTAGTCTTATTCTCCTTGTACATTTTACATGAGTCTCCATGTAAATCTTTATTTTGTTCATATTTTGCCCCAGTTTTATGAAATTTCAGTTTGAATTACGATTATGTTGCCATGTCTGTATTTTCTTGGTATTCCTTGATATAAATATACATGCCATTCAGAACAGTGACTATGGAGACTTGGTATCTGGCTTGACTGACCTTTAGATTTACTAACACTTGATGATCATGAAACGCGCACTTTACAATACAAAAAGATAGGCCATTCCTCGTTTTTCTTCATTTGCACAAGGAATTGTTAATACTATATTTAGACTGGCGAAGTCATTAGATGACTACGAAGCTAATCACATGGGGATAATTGGATAATTAAACACAAACAAAAAATCCATCGCTAGTTTAAGTCTAGACCGTAGCCTTTACTAACATTTTGTAACATAGTTGTCAGACCTTTGCCTGAAAAATCCGAGAATTAAAAGAACGACGAAATGCCATGACAGACATCACCAGATATGACCTAACGTCACACGTAGATATGGAACGACAAACATCTCCTTTCGTAACGTCAAGCATTGAAATAACGGAACGAAGGCAAGAGGGGTAAATGAAATGAGGATCTCTGCCCTCGGTAAATAATAATTTGATTACAAACATTCGACAAGCCTCAAACTCGCTTACTTCATATTTTACCTCGTGGGAGTGAATCATTCCTGATATATCGACGATACATGTATATGAGTATAAATGACACAACGATGTCCAGCATCATAGACACAATATCCAGATACATGTAATATTGAACCAGCTTATCTTAAGTATACAGTTCGTGATGTTCAAAGTACTGTATACAACTTCATCAACAATCTCATTGTGACATGTATCCAGCTTTCTCATTGAAAGTGTTGTATACAACTTCAGCAACAATATCATTGTTACATGTTCTCAACTATCTCATTCAAAGTACTGTATACAACTTCATCAACAATCTCATTGTGACATGTATCCAGCTTTCTCATTCAAAGTGTTGTATACAACTTCAGCAACAATCTCATTGTGACATGTTCTCAGCTATCTTATTCGCCTTACATAACATACTGGGAACACGCACCTTCTTGACTGGGACTTATCACATACAGGTATGTGTTGATCTAGGGTAGCTGTACTCGTCACACGAGTAAGTGTGCATGTGGTTTGTCACACTTCTGAGTGCATTCGTCACACGAATAACAGGGTATTAACGTATCTAAGTCACATTCGTAAGACGAATTAAACTTTACTTACTTAAGTCACACTCGTCACACAAACAACAGGGTACTTACTTATCTAAGTAACAGTCTTCACAGGAATGACAGGGTACTTACTTATCTAAATCACACAAATAACAGGGTACTTACTTATCTAGGTCACACAAATATCAGGGTACTTACTTATCTAAATCACACAAATATCAGGGTACTTACTTATCTAGGTCACACAAATATCAGGGTACTCACTTAACTAGGTCACACAAATATCAGGGTACTCACTTAACTAGGTCACACAAATATCAGGGTACTCACTTATCTATGTCACACAAATATCAGGGTACTCAATTAACTAGATCACACAAATATCAGGGTACTCACTTATCTAGGTCACACAAATATCAGGGTACTCACTTAACTAGGTCACACAAATATCAGGGTACTTACTTATCTAGGTCACACAAATAACAGGGTACTTATTGGTCAAACTCACACTTGTCACTATGATATCAGAGTACTTACTTATCTACGTCACACTAATATCAGGGTACTTACTGATCAAAGTCACACTTGTCACACTAATAACAGGGTACTTACTTATCCAAGTCGCATTCGTCACATGAATTGTTGGGAGTTGCGTCGGACGACATCGAAGCGGGTTCACCACAATTCTGTAAGAAAGTAGAACCCAATTGAAATTAAAAGGCAAGCAATGCTGTTGAACGATTGAGTCGATCGTACCAAGAAAGCTCAGAGGCATTGTAAAATCAATCGATAAAAAACGTCTTGGTAGGGAAAACTGACTTGATTAATCAAAGGAAACAAAATTATATACTAACAGAAAATAACAAATATTTTACAATACTACAACGTTGTTTTCATCCAAGGTAAAAAAAACATTGAATTCTTTGTATTAAGCCTTTGCTGATATAAAACTGAAATAAAGTAAAATCTTGTATTTTAATCATAAATAAAAGTATCATGTATCCAAAATTATCCCATCTTTATATATAAGTGTTGTTATCAGGAAATATTGACTAGTTTCTTACCTGTATATATAAGTGTTGTTATCAGGAAATATTGACTAGTTTCTCACCTGTATATATAAGTGTTGTTATCAGGAAATATTGACTAGTTTCTCACCTGCATATGTAAGTGTTGTTATCAGTAAATATAAGTGTTGTTATCAGTAAATATTGACTAATATCCCACCTGTATCTATAAGTGTTGTTATCAGTATATATAAGTATTGTTATCAGTAAATATTGACTAATATCCCACCTGTATATATAAGTGTTGTTATCTGTAAATATCGACTAGTATCCCACCTGTATATATACAGTGTTGTCATCAGAACATTTAGTTATCCACTAATATGCCGTCAAATGGGCACAAATTCCATGACATTATGTTTTCCTTGTCCGAAACTGTCGAGGATCATATTTCCTACTTGATCAAGAAAACGTTTTAAAAATAGATATATCTGTATACATCGTCAACAGTAACTATCCATTAGTATCAACTAAGTGTTCAATACTTCCAGATTCCATGATGTCCTACAACCATGTATTCCTGTTTCCCTCGTACGGAACTACCGAGGATCACGATTCCGACTTCACCACGAAAAAAATTTCAAAATGTATTAGTGTTTATATATTGTGTAATCCTATCTACAACGTTTCGGTGTAGTTATATACGGGTGGTTATATCTGTGGATGACAACACCGTATTGATGAACGAGCAGGATCTGTCGAAATATCTTCCGGGAAAAGAAACTATTACACTCCTAACACGATTAATCCATATCCCCGATAGGAACAGCCTTCTCAAATTGAAATTGTGGAAGAAGTTTTCATTAATTTATATCCTGGGTCACGTCACAGTCTCCCGTCGCTGTACATGCATGTGAATTTCCAATCATGTAAATGCTAGTTAGTTTTATTACCCCGACAGCCACGATCAATATATAAGTAAATTAATGTCTACCTTATCATCGTCTTCAAGATGGCCGGAAATCGTGCCAGCAATGATCAGTTATTACCCCTAGAAAGTTTACATGTTAACAGTAGAAGAAAACATGGCGCGCCACCGTGGAAGGTAAACAGTTAACGCATCGATACCGTACAATGTAATCACATACAGTATGGGCATGTCAGATGTAAACAATATGTATTCTTCATCATTACCAAACTCTCCCAATACTACAGTCTCTCAATGCACCATCTGTCGTCACTGGTATCAACAAGTCGGCCATGTTATAAATATTTAATTCGTATGGCTGGAAGTGACAAGGACGTTAAAGAACAGTTGACGACTGTATACAAGTTTTATGATGAACTGCCAATATGGTGTATCTGATGGACAGTCACAAGTAAGAGATCGCCCACACTCATAGAAGGCCAGGGTTTTGATAGGTCATACATTGTTCTGACTTAAATAATACTGACATTTCCCAGTTGTAGCCAGAGGAAAGCAATATCTGATTCATCACTTCAGCTGCTAACGGTATGATTTACACAGCAACAGCACCAAACTCCTCTAGGACACAGTTTACTAAACAATAACCACTAGGTCTAAGGAAGACTGTTCCTGTGTTTCACAGGACAACCAAACCTATACTTATCTGTCCAGTTGATTGCCAACTGATGTTTCAACGCAAGCAATAATCCTGTCCAAGCCAGTAGTTAGAATGTCAGTTTTTGTATTTCTAGAAACAAGCCCTTTATTTTGAACATGTATATATTTGTCAACATATGATGGAGATCACACAGGACAGTGTTATCTACTTCACGAGGTAAATTCTTTATAAAATTTCCGTCAGTGATTTTATCAAGAAAATCCTCAATTTTATTAAAATCTCTTACCAGCACCGATATAAATTTCTTTTGATAAATTTGATAAACAAAAACACAATGCAGATTTTTCAGGTATAACATATGTTATTCTGAAAGCGCATATAGAAAATATCGGTAGATAAAAATGGTTGTCGTATTGAGTAGTTTACATAGCAACAATAAAATTTTACTGACGTCTTAGCAACAAAACAAATTCTACTGACGTCTCAGCAACAATAAAATGATAACTCAGCTGGCCCTGAGCAGAGACAAATCAACATGGTCTTCGGTAAAAGAAATGCCAAAGTGAAAATTAAATTTCGCTTATAATGTTTAAAAACTCAGAAAGTGAAGCATTAAAGAACAATTACGCAACACTACATTTACGCATTTTATACAACTTTGTATAGAAGTATTAACATTCGATAATATATGTTTAGAAGATTGAATTCCAGGATATCGTCCAGCATGTGTCTAACAAATATAACCTATTAACAGCCGAGCACTTGTCACCAATTAAGTGTCCATCTTTAACTACAGTTCAGAACTTATCACCTGTTATATAATCTTTTACTTCCGTCCGGAAACCTGGCGCTACTGAACACGTGATCCTACGTCATTATACCAGGTCAATATCATACTATAGAACACGTGATTCTATGTCGGTATACCTGGTCAATCTCACACTATAGAACACGTGATCCTATGTCGGTATACCTGGTCAATATCATACTATAGAACACGTGATCCTATGTCGGTATACCTGGTCAATATCACACTATAGAACACGTGGTCCTATGTCGGTATACCTGGTCAATATCACACTATAAAACACGTGATCGTGTGTCGGTATACCTGGTCAATCTCACGCTATAGAACACGTGATCCTATGTCAGTATACCTGGTCAATCTCACACTATAGAACACGTGGTCCCAGTCGGTATACCTGGTCAATATCATACTATAGAACACATGATCCTCTGTCGGTATACCTGGTCAATCTCACACTATAAAACACGTGGTACTGTGTCGATATACCTGGTCAATCTCACGCTATAGAACACGTGATCCTATGTCAGTATACCTGGTCAATCTCACACTATAGAACACGTGGTCCTATGTCGGTATACCTGGTCAATCTCACACTATAGAACACGTGATCCTACGTTAGTATACATGGGTAATCTCACACTATAGAACACGTGGTCCTATGTCGGTATACCTGGTCAATCTCACACAATAGAACACGTGGTTCTATGTCGGTATACCTGGTCAATATCACACTATAGAACACGTGGTCCTATGTCGGTATACCTGGTCAATTTCACACTATAGAACACGTGGTTCTATGTCGGTATACCTGGTCAATCTCACACTATAAAACACGTGGTCCTATGTCAGTATACCTGGTCAATATCACACTATAAAACACGTGGTCCTATGTCAGTATACCGGGTCAATCTCGCACTATAGAACACGTGTTCCTATGTCGGTATACCTGGTCAATCTCGCACTATAGAACACGTGTTCCTATGTCGGTGTGCTGGTCAATCTGACGGTATAGAAGACATGGTCTTATGTTGGTATTCCTACTAAATTTGACATTATAGAACATGTGATATGGTGCTGACCTTCCCTTTGAATTTGATGTTGTAAATCCTTGTCTCGTCATCGCGATAGACTGTTAGATGAACAAAAGTCATGAAGTAGGATAACAATCATCTCAGTCTTTTATGTTTTTCTATATTTAATTATTTAAAATTGTTCAATGTACTTATCTGCTGAAACAGGATGCTGAATATGACATTTTGTAGAAATATTGCCTAAGTGGACTACAATTTTGATGACGTCGTTGACAGCATGATTCGGTCGATAACTACAACATTGGTATTTCCGTTGCTATGGTAATTCTCTTGAATACATCTCGGAAGTTTCGGATAAATTTGTAAAAATCATAATGCAAAACGACATCCGCTTTTGTAATCATGAAAAACTCTTTAAATGTTAAAATTTAGAACAAAACGACCACCCCGATCCCAATCCCGTCCCCACAAAAAATAAGATAAAAAACCCAACTAAAACACAAGATAACAAGATAGAAAAAAAAAACAAAGAAAAAAAAACAAAAGAAAAACAAAAAACAAAAAAAAAAAGAAAAAACAAAAAAAAAAAAAAAAAAAAAAAAAAAAGGAAAAAAGAACAAAAAAGGCCCGATCTATGTCATTTTAAAAACCTTTACTTTTTGGTTGTTATGCAGTTTTAAGATCATTAAAAGTTACATTAAAATATTATATTTTTATGAAAGAGCCCTTTTTAATGCCTAAAATAATAATGTCTGTTATTCAGAATGAACTTTAGAACATTATGTGAAACGGAATCATTTTCTGTTCATATTAAAAATTATCGGAAATAGCAGCGCCGCGACATGTTGGGTTTTTTCGTTTGAGGTAATTTCGTAAATTTAGCCTTTCCAAAAATCATCACTAGATCAAAAGTTAAATTTGGTCACCGGACCAACATACATCCTTAAAGAAACAAAAATATACAATGTTGATAACATGTTAAAAATAACCATGTCTATTGTTTCTCATGTAAAAAAATTGTCTATGACGAAAATATCTGAATGCATTCTATTTAATTAGAATTAGTTGAAATGAGTGGAATTAATTAATAAATTATAACACTTACCATTGAGACTTTAGAAAATTGATTAAGTAAATGTAGTTGCTTCCCCTGTTTACTTATTGTGCCTCAGGAACACAACACTACTGCTACGATCTACTGTCACAACAGACTGTACGGCAGCAACAAGCCACTGTGCCGAATTTCACAATCGG